AAAAAATCAAAAAAGAGCTGCCCTCTTCCTTCATCAGCAGGAGGAGAAACATCCATGACATCCAAAATCCTTATAGAAAAGTCCCAAAGGGTCACACACATGTCTGAAAAGAGCAGAGAAACAGAACATCTACATCTAAATATGTAAAACCATTCACTAATTTTGTTATTCAGCCATGAAGACCATTCACAGCAAACAATCATAGAATATTTACAGTATACAGAGCTTCATCTTCTTATGTTTAGGGTAAACTATACAATATAACGTATATATTTTTATGTATAACAGCAATTGTCTTTTTGGTGGGCATTGAACAACATTTGGACAGATGCTGCAATAAGATACGGTAAAACATTTCCTCGAACTAAGGATACCTGTTATTAGTCCATGCTAAAAACTGAGCTATCAAAGGAATGCATTCATTGGTGCCTCTCATTAGACCAACCCACCCTTAGCCAGACCAATATCCAAAAATCATCAAACTTTATCCAACCGATATAAAAGGATAACCAAATAAATATCTAGATTCCAGATTTACGATTGGTCACTGAATGCATCAAAACTGCTTTAATGACACATCCTCATGGTGGTAAGTATCCCCGCCTGTCATGTGGGAGACTGGGGTTAGATTCCCCCACGGGGAGGTGACTTTCTTTCCTTTTATTTACTTCTTTTTTATATGAACTTCAGGTTCAGTGATTAAAAAAAACTATCAAAAATAATTTTGGGTTAGAAGTTTGAAGATGACCTGGGCCTGTTGCACATTAACGTACAGAGGAGAAGGCTTTTAAACGACTCAGAGCAATAAAAACAACATGCATGTCAGTGCCTTTCACTAAGAAAATCAACATTCTCACAGGTCTAAAATGAGCCTAACATATACAAATTTAACCCAAGGCTAGATTTATTTTTTAAATGACTGTATTAAAAAGTCTGTTTTTACTGAGTTTCACATTCCCATGAGCACCTGGGAATGTGTTCATCTGAAATGCTACACAAGATCTGGATGGAAATCACAGCTTTCATTTCCCATCATGCATTGATGGGGGCCTGCACAGTTATTGTAGCCTTCAGAAAAAGCTTTGAAATGAATTGATATGGTCATATCTAGTCAACGTATTCTACTGAGTGGGAGCTGTGTGTTTGCTCCATTAAATACGTTATGATGGCTGCGGTGTGGGTTTAGCACATAGAACAGGGCCTCCTTAGAACATCCTCAGATACATCTGATGCTGAAAGTTGGGCAGGTTTAAGAGAATCCTCTGGCTCAGAAAAACCTCTAAGGTCCAGATCAGATCAGAGGGGGGGTTCTTTGGTGTGTCCTCCCTCTGGTGCTGCTGTTGATGTAAAGAGTTCCACTTTGAGCTCTGTAACCTCTCTGCTCTGTGTTATTTCCTCTCTGCAGGGCAGAAGATCAACAGCTGAAGCTGGACAGAAGGCCTGGATGACGTGTGGAGCTGGAGAGGAGAGAACCATGCCAGCTTTAGAGCGCTTAGACCTGATCTGAGGACAGATGTTGTGTTTTTGTACAGAGATGGTCGCTTTGAGTCAGACCTTTAGGAACCGGGTGGATCTGCAGGACAGACAGATGAAGGATGGAGACGTGTCTCTGACTCTGAAGGATGTGACCATAAAGGATACAGGAACATATCAGTGTAGAGTCAGTGAGACACAAGAAAGAAACAGAGAAATGTTCAAGAACCCACCTCCACCATCCATCTGGACGTAGCTCCTCCCCCTCCAGGTGAGTGTGTGTGGCTCTGAGGGATGGTCTCAGATGGTTTATCCTTCTTTTCCTCCCAAAGTCTCAGCTTCTTTGGCCTTTGTGTATCTGAGCTCCTGCTGGTACAGCTGAACTTTTCATTTAAGCCCAAAGAGAATAAATCCTTCCACTTTTTACTCAGAAGGTTTCCCATCGATGCAGCTGCTTCTATAAGTCTGACTATAAGTCTCCATGTTTTCAGGTTTTAAAGGCTTGTGTCATCATCTCCAAAGAAAAGGATCCTGAATAATTCCATTCAGGATCTCTCCAGCTATTCAAATCCTCAAAGGGAGGCCGGCCTGTTTGATCTGAGCTCTGCTGCCCCCTGCTGGTCACAGTGGGCTCAGCCTGAG